CCATGGCAGGGGGGGGGGGGTGGCCAGGCTGAGGCGTTGCAAGGGGGAGTAGAGGGGGTTTTTTAAAGGGATCTGAACGCCCTGAGGCTGGACAGCCTCGGCGAATTTAGGGGGATACTAGGAGTTTAGACTATAGTTTATATGGGGGAATATAGAGGAATGGAGAAGCAAATGGAAGCTGTGTAAGCTTCCCCTCACTCAGCACTGCACGTGGAGAGTGACTCTCAGAACTGCACCCACACTACATACACATGTGCCTTCTGCCGATGACCCGCTTTCCTGGCCCCACCCTCGGGAGCAAAGACCGGTAACTGCAGCTTTGCTCCGCAGCACCCTGCGATACACTTTCTGGCCCTTGCCCTTCACAGCCAAGCCCTGCCTGAGATGTCTTCCAGCATCACCGTCCTCCCGAAGGCTTACTTATTCATGGCTCGCGGCAGCGGGCCGGCTACGCAAACCCATCCCGGAAAGGAAGCCCGCCCCCGGCGTTAACCAAGGTTTAGGACAACCCCTGGATCAAGGCGCGCCCGTGCTCGACGTTGCACCAAGAGCCCTTACAAACTTCCCAGCTCATTGGGCCAGGACCTCTGTCACGAAGTTGCGCAGCACGACGTAACCTTGGCCCCTCATAATTTATGTAAGCCTACATTTGCCAACCCTGGATAGCTGAGCACAACCACCACAAGGCTGCCTCTGGCTCCCGGACGCATGGGGGTAACCCGCTCTTAATGGCTGCAGCTTCACACTGAAACTATTAACTTATCTAGAGGTTTTGGGCTTCAGGATCAATATTGGAGACCCCCCACTCCCCTAATAGTAAATATTTCAGTTGTGGTGAATATTTGATTTTAGGAGGGTGGGGGAGTTTTAGTAATAGTAGGCGGGGCAAAAGGGTTTAGGGGTTCAGGCTTTAGGGTCATTTGTCATGGCTTCCATGTAAGTTTAGACAAGCCAGACATATCCCAAGGCATTACGTCGGGACTCTGGCTTCTGGCGAGCAGTTTGCCTCCTCCAGGGATGGCGAGCCTCTCACATTTCTGCTGGGACACTCGGCGATTCAGCAGACTACTTTTGCTACTATGCCTGGCCCTGTTTTGAGACCTTTGAGAAATTCGTATAGCCCAAGAGCCCGCCCAAGATGATTGTAAAGGATTCCCATAGCTGACAGGTTCCTTGATTTTTCCAAGGAGGCCCATGTTGTTTTTGTGTTTTCCTTTTCGCTGCTGCGCTGATGTTCTTACTTGTGTTACGGTCTTTGCCACTCCAGTACACCCTTATCAGACTGTGACGGGGTTACGTTGAACAAATGTCAACTTGCCTCGGGCATATGCCGTGCTTTCACGTTGGTTGGGCCAGGAAATTCAGCATCCTGCCAAGCACGCAAACACGCAAGACCGTGAGTGCGAGGTTTGTATGGTAGGAAGGGGGTTTGGAGTTAGCTTTTGCAGCTTCTCTGTTGAAAGCTCTAGAGGTCATATCTTCCGCAGCCCTCACTCAGCAGCCCAGGAGAGGGTGAGGTCGTAAAGGCGTGGGAGATAGGAATCCCGACCATGCGAAAGGGCGAGGTGGCAAATTTCAAGGTCTCGCCTGAGTTCGCCCATGGAGCAGAGGGAACAGAGAAGGTACCTCCCAATTCTACAGTGAGCTACGAAATTGAGCTGGTGGCCTGGAAGCCGCGTTTCGATCTGCTTCTTACCTGCGCATTGGGTAACCCTAAGCCACCTTAATCCCCCCCAAAAAAATTTCCTAGATCCCCTCAAAGAAAGCCAACAATACCTTGCCTGCCTCTACCTGGACCCTGGATGTCCTTCCTTTTTGGGGTTCTGTCCTACAAATTGATAGGGTATACCCCCCAAAAATGGTAGGACATCCAGGGTCCAGGTACATGCAAGGTTTTCAGATGGGGCGGTTATCAAGACGGTGGTCCAAGAAGGAATAGGCTGGAGAATGCCGAGAATGAAGGACGAAGTCTGCCTTTCTCTGAAGGTGGCTGGGCTCTATATGAGCTTTTGTCTAAACTCCTTAAAGGGGGGTTATATGGAGGATTATATAGGGGTATATTATAGGGGTTATTAAGGGGGATACTAGGAGTTTAGACCATGGCTCATATAAGTAATCACATCCACCTAATGCTTAACAAAACCCCTGGGAAGACGTATCATTCAGGGGTGAGGGGGTGCTGGTATGACTGGGCGAGATGATTCAGACGCCTTTTCTCTGAAACTTGTTGTGGTTGAGCCTACCATCCCAAACCCCTGGGTAAGTGGAAACTAGCACCCAGAACTGGGGTTATTAATAGCTATAATCTTAACTCCTTAAGTAAGGAGTTATATAATGGATTATATAGGAGACTACTATACGGATTATGAAGGGGATATCAGAATACAGGCTATAGCTTAATTGGGGTTATGGGGCCCCTAGCAGTGGGTACCGAGGCCTGATTATGGCCAGGGTCTAGGTACAGACTCACCTTTTTTTTGACTGAGGTGGATAGGTTGGATGGGACGACCTTCCAAGAAGCCGAGTCCTTCGAGCCTCCGCAGAGGGTATACGGTTCAAGGATTTAGGGTCCAGGGTTTAGATTCATGGGGTTTAGGGTAGGAAAACGCTCATAACCAATTATGACCTGCATCCCCTATACTCACTCTCAAGCACTTGTGTTTATACTTTGCCTGCCTGGCCCTTAATTCTGAGATCCCTAAACCATCACAGCGTCCATTAAAATCATCTGATTCTCAAGGAGTAGGTGTCGAATTCCTCTTCCTCTTCTCGGCCTCAAGCCCTATAAAAACCCGCCTAAACCTGAGATCCACGTCATATGCTATCTCGCCCGGGTTATGCCCTGCGTTGCTTTGGCCATGCAAATAGCCAACAAAATCGTTGCTTTGGACTTGGGGTCAGGCTGGGATTAGAGGCAGGTCTGGGATTCTGGTAAGTGGCCTTGGTGGTTAGGTCAATCTCCCCTACAGTACTAGCCCGCCTTGCCATACCTACAATAGTCCCTTTTTGTGCCCATCACTGGGCGGCGGTTTGGCCCAAGATTAGGGTCGTTCGGGCTTAGGGATTCAGGCTTAGGGTTGGGTAGGGTTTCATTAGTGTGTTGGCTACTAGGGATTCAGTGCAGTCAGACCTCAGGCTACAAGAGTCCTTTGCCTCAGCTCCAAACTTTGATGTCCTTCACACTAAGCCCTAACTCCAATGCAGTTCAGGGCTTGGGTGAACCCAAACACAATAACAAGTCCGCTATAAGAGTTGCATGATAGTGATAGGGTCCATCCTTTGGGGCGTTGGGGTTACCAAAAGTCTCTTGTTTTGTAAGTGCCGAGAAACCCTAACCGGTTTCTACTCGAAAGGTTTATCCCACATCCTGGAGCCCGAGTACCGCAACCTAGGCCTAGGGCGTGAAGCTGAGGAGAATCACTGTGATTCCTAAAGCCCTTAACCCTTGACCTCTGAATCCCTAAATCCTTACACTCTGAACCCCAAAACCCTAACTCTCTACACCCTTAACCTTTGAAGGGTTAAATCCGCCCCCTAAACCTTCAAACGTTGACTCCCTAAATTTTTAAGTCCTTAAACTCTAAACCTCTCAGCCCTCAGCCACTACATCCCTAAACCCTAAACACTTGAAGCCTGAGGAGTATAGACTGGGCACTGATGCCCTTGGTGTTTTCTCCAAGGCAGTGGACCATGCCTTGGTTGCTATGAAACTGGGACCTGCTTCGCATATTCCTTTAAAAAGGGCTTGTCAAGGCTACACCTTGACATGTATACATACATATATATATATACATATGGATACATCGGTTCTTAAAGGAGTTGCGGGGAGATACATATGTAGATGCGTAGAGGGCCCCTTTAAAGGGGTACTAGGGCCTCTATATGTTTATATACATAGGGGGTCACTTCAAGGGGGTTCCTGGGATATGTAGGGTTTGTCGCGTAGAATCCTGTCCCACGATAAGAAACTTCTTCCCCTGCCCAGTCATAGTTGGAGAGTCATTAGACATGTCATCAAATATATTCAGCCCTTACAGTATACACTGCTTTCGAACCTATGACAGGCTGTCACTATATGGGCAGCCAATATATTCCATGATTATGGAGCTAAGGGAGTGAGCTTGGCGGCAAGGAAGATTAAATCAGAGCAGACTATGGTCTTGGAAAGGTTTTCTGCCCCTTGCACCCGCCAAGCTCCCCAGACATGCTGCGGAGACCGTTAATAGTTCTGGTTTTCAGCAGCAAGGGCAGCGAAACCGTTCAAAAGGTTGCAGGGGCGACTTGTCGAAGACGTTCCAACTGTACATTCCAGGGGGAGTCTCGGGACCTTGCATTCTTTTGACCAGTGACAGCATCAACATGAAAATTTGGCTCCGACACATCTCTATATAACCCATTCTCGTAATTTTCATTTCATTTTCCATTATCCCCATATAACCCCAATATATAACCCCTGTACAATCCCTCTACATAGCAGCATCCCTTTAGCTTCGGCGCGTTTGCACTTTCTTCATGAAAGGTGTAACACAGAAGGCAAAAGAAAGGGGCAATCTTTGCATATTGCCAGTCACAAACCCTAAACCCCTAGACCTTAAACCCTAAACCCAACCCTAAACACTAGACGGCTGGAACGAGCTTGCTACAGCCAAAGTAGCTCTCACATGACTTTTCCGGAGCTTTCCGCTTCTTGTATAGGACAGTACTAAAGCCCAAAGGATCTATGTAGGTATATAGTATAT